TTCCTTAACTGGAAAGGACAACCCCAAGGGGATAGGAGGCTGAGTTAAGGTTTCAAAGAATGAAGCACAAGAAAAGGTACCAGAGCTAGAAAGGGTCCAAAATCTGGTGTYTTCCTTAGCAGGGTTTAGGAAGACACCCTCAAGGGAGGCTAGCAGAGCTACCATGCTATCCAAGTTTGTATCCCTAATTGCCCTACGCAGGCCAAGGTTCCATCCAAAGCCAAAAGTGGAGGCTGAAGGGACCAAGAAAGAAGATATGGGTTCATTTTTCAAGTCTGATAGAGCATACAAGGAAGGAAACTGGTCYTTCAGAGGAGAATCCCCRACCCAAAGTTGTTCCTAGAATTTTATTCGGTTACCAGAGTTTAGACCATACCTGATCCAAGGGGAGAAAACTGGAAGCAGATTGTGAATGGATTTCCAAGGAGAAGTTGTTGAAGCCCTTGCCAAGATTCCAAGATCCCAACCATTGTCTTCAAGCCCGTGAATGCTAGCCACAATCTTAGTCCACAATTTATCCCTTTCCAATGAAAACCTCCACAACCACTTCCCCAGTAGACCCATATTCCTTTTCTTGAAATTACCAATCCCAAGACCTAGTTTTTTACACCTAGTGACCACCTCCCAACTCACCCTATGATCTTTCTTCTCCTCTCCAGGCTCCTAGAGAAAGTTCCTTATTAATTTTTCAAAAGATTTGAAACCTTTGAGGGGATCTTAAACACTGATAGATAGTAAACAGGTAGGTTAGCTAGGGTAGACCTAATGAGAGAGACTCTCCCACCTAAAGAAAGATAATTTCTCTTCTAGACTGCTAGCCTCTTCTCAAACCTCTCCACTACCAGAGCCCAAAAGCTAACACTCTTATGATTATCTCCTAAAAGGAGGCCCAAATATGTTAGGGGCCAGTCCGTAATTGCACAACCAAGCTCACCTGCAAATTCCCTTAGGTCCCTTTCATTCACATTCACTCCCGTCACACAACTCTGCTTAAAGAGTTGTATTGTCAACTTTAGATTCCGGACTCAATTAAAGTTCCCTCCTTCACAAAAAAGGATAGTATCATCTGCAAACTGTAGAAGTGTTAAGGGAACCTCCTCCCTTCCTACTCTCCACCCTCTTATCAAATTCCTCGAGTCTGCTCTATGGATCAATCTCTCAAACACATCAACAATCAGGGTGAAAAGAAAAGGGGAAAGAGGATCTCCTTG